GAACTCCACGGGCTGCCCTGCTGTTAGCGCGCCTGTAGGTTATGTTGATGCCGAAGTGGGCGAGGGCAAGCTCCCTGTCGGCTTGATGGCGATGGGCGAGTGGGGTGCCGAGGAGCAGCTCCTGGCTTGGGCGAAGGATGCTGAGACGTATCTGAATACCGCTTACGAGGGCGGTCGCTTTAGGCCAAAAGACTGGGCTGATATCGTTGAAATCGCTAAGGGCTCCAAATAGAGACAGTCTGAGTACGATCAGAGATGTTCGTTCAGCGAGCCTCTATGCGTCGGGATGTAATCTTACCAGCAAGTATTATAGAGAGGTGCGGGATAACCTTACATGTACCTACATCGCTTAGACTTGAGAATCCTTCGGGTGGCACCTCAATGTTAATAGAAGCTTGAGCCCCGAGGCTGTTCGAGGTTTATCCGTATCCAATCATTAAAGGGGGATGACAGCTAGTACCTAATTCCATCCAAGTCACGGGGCTGCGTCATCGCCCCTTATACCTTCAACTATTGTCAGATAGTCACGTGGAATTCAGGTGACACTCGCAAAGATGTAATATAACCGTTTGCATCTGTTGTCTGCTCCAGACAACAGACTTTCAATTAAACAACTCTCTTCTTGCTCATTGATTCTATAAGTTAAGTACAACTATTTAGATAGGAGACCGAGGACGCAGCTTTGGAGGTTTAGATAGTATTTCCACGTACGCCCCTGAACCAACGAACAAGCTTTGAGCATGACAACCTCATATAGAATGTATCTACAGGCTCTTTGGCCCTTTTTCCGTTCAAGTAAAATGGAAACAAGAGCCATTACGTGTACACTTATATCCGTTTGTGCTAATCTTCTATCTATCTCAATGAACCATCTCATACTCCATATTCGATATTTCTCGGTAGATAGTAAACTATGGAACGTTATCCTCATTAGGATAGGGGTAGACGACTATGTTAGTGATAATCTATTGCCATAGGTATCCTCAAAAGGAAGGTGTTATTTGACTTCTTTTTCGCCTCTGCACCCCGGAATACACTTAATACCACCAGATAAACGCCATCTGTGTCTCCTTGGCCAGAAACTCTTCATCTGGGCAATCTGTTGCTGTAACCATTGAGACCATATGGTCTGGTATCTGGGTAAATACTTTTTGGCCAAGCGATGCGTCAGCTCTGCCTTCACTGGAACTCTGGCCGTCCTATGCGCCGTAGTCGCGCGGCCTCGTGTGCTTAGATGGCTGTTAGCCCATGACATCTTGGCAACAAGAAATGGCACGAACACCCTTGATAGACGCGATCCAGATTGTTACGGAGCTCGCAATCTTTCAAATCAATGTGAGCTTCCTTGACAGGCGCAAGGAAACGGCCCATCTGGAATGCGACCCAAGCATGCGATGTCACGCTACGTAACAGAGTATATACTACTCAGTTCAGCATGTCCCATGAGGTTTTCGAAAGCACACTACAGCAATTTCAAACCAGATATAGAGCAACGTGCTAGAGCAACGTGCGAGTATATCTTTCCGATTATAACCACTGCGGTTATCTCCGAGATCTAGACTCCTTTGTTACCCGAGAGGGCAATTCGTTACCCACATACATAGCTCCTTATCTGCTTGCAGATCATTGAAACGTATAAGTGGCTCAATTAAAGTGCGTGCTAACCGATGTAGTCACGTCACTTTGCACGAGGCCTTTGTGATAGGAGTTGCAGTGACACACGAAGGTATAAGTTGGGGCGGTTTCCTATTCGCTAGATCTGCTATATCTCCTGCTAGAGGGGTTTATTAGACCTTGCTTACCTATTGTACCATACTCCCCTTTCGTAAATATTAGTGCTTCATGGATTGAGCGAAAGGCGTTAGATTTCTAATGATTCTGGCGACTTTATATTACCACTATATAGCACTGATATCCCCAGACTGATGGGGCAAGTCTTAACAGAATCAATACGCCTGTGTGTGGTTTTAGTAACCTCGCCGATTGAATATGAAAAATTCGACTTTCACTTAGTAAAGTCGCCGAATTGCACCAATACGCATCTTCCTATAAAAGAAGTACCCTAGCTTTTAGGAGCGGCTCTTAAAGCTCTTGCGGAAATCTGATCTACAGGCAGGTAGTGACGGACCCATTTTATCAGATCTCGTAACATGAACCAGCCAACTTTCATTTAGGTCAAACTTCACGTTGATCGCCGTATCGGATCGTGAAAACCGGGCTTGGTGACCATAGTACCAAACTAGACTTCCTTATCCTTGTTCATCCACGCCCAGTAAGATGGCCAAATGAACCCTAAGAAGAAGCTCTAGTCATAGTAAGCATCGTCATAGGCGTTGCGGGACTTCGCCCTCAAGCTAACCCAAGGCCAAATCTTAATGCCAACACTTAATACTACAAATAAATTTCAAGTTGCCTTCACAAGGGGCGAATTCAGGATATCGGTCATTCATCGAGGCAATGTCTTAGAACTCGCTTCGTGCCGCGACGTGGGGTGAGTTTCATCGGCCTCGACGTCTCGGTAGATGACTCCAACACTGCCGGCATGGTTCTACTTCAACCATTGGTCGAACAAACTGTTGTCGCTTAGGATCTTCCACTCGTATCAACCTTTTGTAGCTCAGTGGGTCCAAGTTACCCGCACTGGAATGGTACCCCCACGCCCATCTAAGAGGAATCTTTGACGTCGATTATATCGGTAACATACCCGAGCAAGGTTGTAACGGCGACAGCACCGGCATCTTAGCTTATTGGGTCGACGGCAGTAACATCGTCACCTACATCAGCCCGGAATTCTCTGGGTAGCAGAGCCATTCCCCCTGGCGGTCCGGTGTTGTTTAGCTTGTGGCTTCTGCCGTCGAGTCTATTTTGACCATTTCAAATGTCTCAACTACCTCTTGTCGAGTAGACATGGTGGTTCAACTACTCCATGAAGTAGTTGGCACTGCTGTTGTGGTTCTTTTATACTCGTTTCTATGTCTCACGGCTAGCTCTATTATGATATGGCTAGTCTGGACACACCATGAGAGGGATAGCTGTACGTTGGAGGTTACAAAAACGCCGTACCTGTCGTTCAAATACTGATTGATAACGATTCTTAATAGATGTCGCATTGCTTTCCTACTCCACGCTTCTGGGAACGGTTGCAAGTATCATCCAACAATTCCACACATTCGTCTGGTGGAGAGATGTCAAAATCGAGCAATACGAATATACCGCCAAACATCTTGGCAGCCCAGAGATAGCCATCGCGGGACCATCGGTTGGCCTAGATCTTGTCCTATTCTATATACGCAAGTCCGAGAATACCTTTGCGTATATTAATGTGCTGCTGACTATCGTGTCAGAATACTATACGTACAATGTGGAAGCAATGCTTACCTTGTTTTGGGCTATCGCACTTACACATACCGTATTCAAACTTATAGATTTGACAACCTTTAGACACATCAGACATCGAACCGACCAGGTAACGAAGGCGGTGGGAGTCTTTTTGCCAGCTATTCTCATGTGTCTGCTACGTCTAAATGCCGTTCAGAGTTCGCATGCGGCTTTCTTGGTATTGGCCAACTTCAACAGTATGCCTCATTGTCGTCATCGTTAAGGGGCCCAAGATAACACGAGATTAGTCATGATTAGCCTGACGCTCGGTAGTATACTCTTGATAGCAATCCTCATCAAGTATATCTATACCCGACACCGACTCGTTTCATGGAATGCTCGGTACTTATTTTCAAGGCCGCAACAGCCTGGTGGGGAAATCATCAATGTGTTGGATCGAGGCGATGGCCGTCAAAGCATCTATGATCGCTGGCTAGTTTTACGGTTCTCCATCGGCTTCGTCGTGCTCGCTGTCTTCCAGTTGATTACGATCTTATCGGAAATAGCGCAGCTGTCGAACCACACTAAGGAAAAATTAGGTGACGCTGCGAACCTGTCGGCGGAGAAGGCCAAGAATGACTTTCTGCTCTTCATGCCGGGTGTTTCCACAAGCTTACTGGTAAGTTAAGCCCGAGATACTGGCATATGCTGCAAGCTAGTCATCCAGAGTGTTCAGTTGCCTCAGCTGAACTTGAACATGAGCTCTCAGACTATCTTTACTAACTCAAAGTGCCACAGGTTTTTATCGTTTTCGGGACCACACGCACATTCCGTAAAACCATGTACAAGACTTTCATTCCGAAGAGGTTCCAGAAACAACCGGCAGACGCAGAACCAGCCGCAGTCACCGTCCCCGACGAGAATATCCGCGAAGATGAAGAGTGCCGTCAAGGCTTTCGGGTTGCGTCGAACGAGGGACCGTCAGATATGGCCTCAAATAATGTGAGCGAAGCACCAGAAATAACCACCGAGATGAGCGAGCGCCGTTCAGCCCCTTTAGTTATATCAACCGATCCTGAGGGCGAAATCAAAGGCCAGAACTAGAGAGAACACAACCCTTTTGCATCTGTATATTTAGGGAATTGGAGATATCATGTAAGAGTTGCTTTTATGTCAGGAGGAAATAGGAAAATGGAGTACACATGGGAAAAGGCATGTAAGAGGGTGCTAGGCATTGTTTGGACTATTGATAGATAATGATACCCACTTTGATATTGTTGTGAACGGGGGTTCGGGTGTCGGGGAGTCGGGGATCCGGGGACCCGGGACCATGCAAGAATCATGTGACTTTGCGGCTGCTTAGATAATCTACGGTCCTCTTATAGTCACGTGATATCCCACAAGTACGTTGGTGAAATTTTGCTCGCTCTTGGGCTATACAAAAATGAATCAATAGACCTTGCTTGCTCTTAGCAAAATCGTCAGGAAGCACTGCTATGTGATATATAGGATATACTAAACTAAGCGTCATAGATCCACACTACAAGAAAAATTTGCTGCGACCCATCTAGTTGGTCTTGTGTACCTATCTAAAAACGCATTGGCGGATTTCCTTCACTGCTCACGCCACATCTTCCCTTCATAAAATGGAGGGCAAAAATACAAGTTGAAAAAGTAAAGGATGAGAGCTGCAGGATTCGAACCTGCGCGGTTTCCCATTGCGGGTCGGGGTTCAGATGTCCTTCTCAAAGAGAACATAGAAGAAGACCTAAACACAACGCCTTAACCACTCGGCCAAACTCCCAGTTAATCCCTATTGGTTGTTGGAAAGATGGCAGTTATTTTCCTCTATATATCTCATTTGCCACATTGTGGATGTCGTGTGGATGTCGTGGGCTTTGATTCGGTGGAATCATTGTTAGTGAGTAGTAGTGTAGGAGACCATTGGATAATGGACAAAGCGTTTGATTAACCTGTGGACCATCGTGAGTTACGTAATGAATCTGGGCGAATGAGAATCTACCTCGATATTTGCTATACTTGATCCATGCTATCTGTCATGATGCAGGGTACCAATGACGTTGTTGCGCGAGGAGCTATGAACCTATCTGCTGCAGGACTCGGTACCTATACATAGTTGACTGCTCTTCGTCTACATAGCCTCAGGTCTTCCTACTACACACGAAGCATTTGGAACGAGCACTGATGTGACTGTCTTGTCTCCTGGTAACCACTATTTACCAACTAATTTTATTTCGCCCTTGAAGCTGTTTAAGTTCTATCCTGTCCCCTAGTATTCTACTTAAGTGTATTCCTCATGCTCTTCAAAGTCTACTCTAATAAGAACTTCTACTCTATTATTCCATAGCCGACTTGTTCATGCTTCCTTATTTCTATCCTTGCTTTTCTTCGTTATTCTCGCTCTTCGGATCTCCCTTGAGTCGTACATTGGGAATGAAGAAGCAACCCAATAGACACAAGGCCGTCATTGGAACGGTCATAATAAAAACAGCATGTACACCGTTAAGTTTCGCATCTAGGATGGCCGAATCCCACATTTCTGAACCAGGCTCACCCCTTTGCCATAACCCATCAATTACACGTGAGCGAAGGGCTGGAGGGATAGCATCTGATAAGCCTATTTTCATGAACTCGAATTGGACGGTGGTTGCTATGGCCAGACCGAAAACTGATCCTAGCATGCGCATCAGGTTTCGTGTTGAAGTAGCTACCGCACGATCCTCTGGTCTCGACAGCGCTTGTAGTGCAACGAGGGCTTCGGAGATGTTAGTGACTCAATTCAGGAAGCTTAGACTATATCAGTTACTGGGGTCTTACCTGGCTGAAGATTGCAACCGATGCCAATCCCTTCGATGATCAACGATATTACGTAGACGCTAACAGGGGTAGTCCGCGAAAAGAGTATTTTCAAGCCTGTTCCTAACGTCCATAATGCCAGCCCACCAAAGAGCACAGGACCAGGTCTGTAGAAGCTCTGTTAGCCCGAAGCAAAAACAATGTATAAACTCGAGACTCGCCTGCCAAGTTTAGATATAATCTGCCCCGCAAATAGTGCAGCGACACTTTGGGTAAGGAGGAGAGATAGCATAAGCATGGCGTTTTTGAGGGGGTCATATCCTCTGACATCCTGGAAGTACATAGGTAAGAAGTAGAGATTTATCTGCCACACTCCGTTATACAAGACGCTTTGCAGAAAGATTATACTAGTGGACAGCTTGGTAAAGAGACGTAGTGGGATCATGGGAATTTTCGCAATCCACACCTCGACAACTCCGAAGAGGATAATGAATGTCCCTCCTAAGACTAGAAGCGAGATAATGATGGGGTTAGTCCACGGGAATGTACTTCCGCCAGAGTTAATAGCTATCTGTAATATCTTAGTGGCAATACCGGCAACAAGAAATGCGATACTTACTATAAGAAATAGCACGCCAATTACTACTGTGAACAGCCCAAGCCAATCTATCTTTTGTATTTTCTCGGACCATCTTCCCGTCACCGGCTTCAGGGGTAACCATACCCAAGTTAAGATCATGCACTATGCTGATGTCAGTGATTGGTAGTTGACGAGACTCTGACATGGTATCATGTAAGCTTGGTAAATATCGTATCTGCGTACCTAGGTACTTAACAGACATTCGGCAGACCCATAACCAATAAGAGACATCAAGGAGTTCCCGAATAATAGCATATACTTGACTTCATAATCCACAAGCGAGGTTAAGGATAGAGATATGAGTAGAGAGAGGGGAATGAGCAAAAGTAACGAAATCGACTCACAACAGTTGCAAGAATTGGAGGCACCCAAAAGATCCATCTCCAGCCGTCACTGGAGTTAGCCATTATAGCAGCCGCAATAAAGGGGCCAGTGCTGGCACCCAACCCAGTGGCACAACTAAGTATTCCCTGATACTTCCCACGGTCTCTCAAGCTTACCAGGTCACTGGCAGTGATCTGAACAAGCGAATTGATTCCGCCGCCCCCAATACCGCTCAGCGCACGACAGACGTATAGCCATATGTAATTCTGCGCGAACCCACACAAAAGGTCGCCGCCAATGAGGAAAACGATGCATGTCATCAGGACGACTTTGCGGCCGAAGATATCAGAAAATCGTCCGTACAGGGGTTGAAATGCCGTCTGCCCCATCACATAGGCAGTACCGGTCCATGTGATCGTGTTACCGGCGTTCAAAGAATTCGATATAGTTGGAAGGGCAGTAGCAACAGAGTTGATATCGAGCTGTGATATGAAATAAAGTGCGGATAGGCAAAGATAGGCGGATATAAGTCGAGGAAATGGCAGTCGTAGTGTCTGATCTTGAAATTCTCCCTCTGGTGCTGAGGTTTGACTCTGATTCTCGATCACCGACTCTTTATCCGGCGTACGTATTCCCGCCTCAAGGCTAGACTCGCTCCGGGTAGCGCCATCATGTCCTACCAAAGCGGAAACGTATAGCTGGCTATGGCCTAACTTTTCATCGGGGGTTTCTGGAAGCACAGACATCGTTGTGAGATCGCCCTATGGCTAGCCGGCATAGAATTTCAGAGAAGGGCAATATCAATTCCTCATCACTTTGAGGATACCTAAAAGCTGTAGTTTCCCCTAAGGATGATCATACTATATATATATGCTCTGCGATTCTGTGCTAATCAATAAATACTACCAAGTAACGCCCAGAGTAGAAGCGAAGTGAGTACGTAAACTCGATGGGGAAAATAGCATTAGTGGAGACGACACGCCTAGGTTATACCGTTTCACCAACTCTCAACTATGAACTCGTGGACTTCGCCTCATCTCAACTCAACAACCTGCAACTTGAGCACATCTATTAGGCTCGGTCTAGCTCAGAAGGAAGGTAAGCCAGCGACGAAACTTGGCTTTGGTGCTTACTGGAGATATTGCCAAGTATTCATTTCAAATCACCTTTCCGGAAAGATTCTAAATCTACTGTTTAGAATATCTCCTTGGGTCCCCATAGACAACTCAAATACAGACGCTAGGACCAAGACACGTCGACCCGGTTGTTGTTCTGTAATCGGCGTCTTACTGTAATATAAAGGGTTATATCGCGATATAAGCGATCTACAGGACGGACGATATCCATCAGGCAGAAATTATGAGCCTCGATATATCCTTTTTGGTTGGCGATATTAATGCCTCATAAGGCGTTAGCTATCACTTAGGTGTGCCATGGCATGTCTAGCTACCTAGGCTCGTAATGGATGCCCCTATCGACGTCATCTAATTATCTTAAGTCATATCCTATTGCTTCCTATATCTCGTTTACTGTCAAGATAGTTAGTACAGGATAGTACAGAGCCTTTTCGCGGTTCCGGGGACCGATGAGGTTCACTCAGTTCGCTTCTGTTCCACAGTCCATGTATCGTCTGAGTTACCGTCGGGACCGATTCTGCCACGTCCTTTACCATCAGGTGGGACGAAAATGTGAATGTTGGCATAGTAGTAATACACTCTTCTAGCAGACTTTATCCAAGCTACCCCTTTTCCAACTTAGTAACATCAATAACCTCGCCCAACTAATCTATTGAGCTGTCAACCCCCAGAAAGTAATGATTGCCTCATATTTATGTTGGGGGTCATTCAACTCGGGGAGCACAGCCACAAGCTTATATCTGAGCCGCTGTAACATCACTAAAATAGCACCGGGATACGCGATCCCTCTAAGAGCAGGTTCCACGGTTTGGTGTCCAATTGAGAAGAGGACCACACAGCAATTTGGTTTCTATACATGTGCAATCTGTATATTACCTAGTTCGCCGAAAAAATTACTATGCTTCGCTGAGTTACAGCTTTGAAGTGGGGGATCATTGCCACTGGGAGGTAACATCTAACACGATATACAAATTAGCGATTGCATTAGGGGTCGTAATCGTCATCCCAAATGGAAACGATCTCACGCGCTCCGGCACTTCACAGAATAAGCTGCATTGCCCTGCATGAGGTAAATGCTATATAACCGCGCGAAACGACTGACGGTGGGATTCATACTACTTTAGCTCTAAGCCATTCTGTTCTGGTGACCGACTTAGAATGATTCCCATCGAGGATGTTGTAGTTGTCATGTATATTGATTCCAACACTGCAGCCAGGGGTATGGCGCCACTCAGAACTGCATTCGGGTATAATTCAACTACCCATTGGGAATCTACCTTTCGTAAACTCCTTAGGAAACGGTTCGCAGCATACCTACTCGCATTCAGATTCCTCCTGCCTAGTAATCAGATCACCTGCGACCCAAAACGAGACTATGGGCAATACGCGACGTGCAATATAAAGCTAGAGTGACGTCCGTATCGACCTATCTCGTGGCGTCTCAGCTAACTCCACTAGACAAGCTTCCATGGCGTCGCTACACCAGTCAGTTACAAGCTTCTAGCCCCTGAGCCTCTATCTTGGCGCCCATTTTGAACCCCGCGATGCCAAGCTCAGCTTACCTGGATAGCGCTGTAAGCCCTGAAGGCTCCCGTAATGGCCGGCCGAGCTGCCTATTTGTCTCGCCTTGGCGTCGCGAATGCGAACGACGTCAGCAATGGGGATTTGAAAGTCCATCACATCAAGGATAGAATGGGTTCCAAGTTGATTCGGCCAAGATGCACCCGATTCCAAGCCAAAGGGGCTTACAAGGATTGACGAACTAGAATCGACACAATCCGCCCTTAGCATTTTCAGTGTTTGTCTCTGGTCGCCCGGGCGCCAACGCATGCACAGCAGATCTACGATGACCACACAGAATATGTCAACAAGAGCGAGGGCAATGAG